TTTTACAAATGTTATGAATGATAAGTATGATTAGCTTGAGAAAAGCTAAAAGAATCGAGCATTTGAGAACTACTTAAAAATATAAGATTTTATGAAGTATTATTTATTTTAGTTGTAATACTCGATTTTAAATCTTTGGAGACTTGTTATCTAACTATGTTACTTGATGAGAACCTTTTATATTTGAGAGTTGTTCAATAGTTATAGATTAAATTTCGTATTACTTTAAAATTTTATTTTAAGATAATATAACCATGTTATGCCTTGATTCAGGCGTGTGAACTCCTGCCTGACAAAGGTCTTGAAATCTTGGGCCATTTGCAAAATCTTGAAAATATTTGTTTATCACAAACAAAACAAGCCGGAGATTACGCTGCATCAAATAAAGCAATAACGCTCAGTAGTTATTATTGACAGCCAATGCCAAAATACTTACAACTTAGCCATGAACTATGCAACCACTTTTAAAATGAGGATATCTAAACAGAGCTCCTCCTTGAAAAAGTTAAATTTGTTTGTGCCAGAGTGGGTTGGTGTAGAACGACACAAAAGAAACCCTCATAAGCAAACTTTGGTTTCCATTATTGGTATAAAACAAAAATCCTTAGATATGGTCATATGAAAACGAGAAGAAATATCTATTTGAAATTAATTAAAAGGAATGTGTAGAACTTTGTTGCACATTTATCAAAACTTGAAAAATGACTTTCAAGTTTCAGCACAGAAAGGAACGGTAGCAGTACATCAGCATCAGTAGCATAAAATGAATAATGTTTATTCTACTAAACCTCCTACAATTAGGTTTTTTAAAAAAAAAAAAAAAATTAAAACACTGGTATGCATTATTGGTGGCGGAAGAGGAATTACCTTAATAAGCTTATTTCTAGCAGCCCTACCAACCTCTAAATGTTTTCTTACTTGAGCTGCACTCATAGTTGTTGCCTCAGTTAATTCATCTTCAGTTCGATCTCTACCCAAATCCTTGTGCAAGTAATCTTTTGCCTGAAGCAGCGCCTACAGTTTTAGCGAAATATTTTAGTGGCAGGCACATCAAAGTTTCAAAAATAAGAGACACTGAAAAGTGAAGGTTGCCATCGATTGAAAAGGTGCATAACTTCATGGTCTGCAGTAACTTAAACAACCAAGTATGTTCAGTAGAAGCAACAACTGGAGGTATCTTCATCTTTTTCCAGTCCAGGCTGACAAAAGTTGAAGATGAATAGTCCCTGACAAGCCCATCAATCTTCTCGCTTTCATTTTCGATACTCTTTTTCCTCCGAACAGAAACAAGAAGCTTTTCTTCTCTGTTCTTTATCAGTTCAATCCTTTTATCAAGACTCAATCTTTTACTCTTATCAGTCTGGTTCCTAACCACGATCTGATTATTATAGTTAGCTGCTTTCTCATCACTTTCTTTAGACCTCTTTCGCCTTTGCTGGCATCTTTTGATCTCACCTTCTCCCTCTTCTACATCAGATGTTCTAGTTACAGGGCTAAGCTTATAAATGTTTTCAAGTTGGCAGCAGCTTCATTGTAATCTACGTCCAATAAAAACGGAGAACCTTCATCAGTAAAGAAGCAATTTACAGTTTTGGAAGCCTTTTTAGCTTTTCCTCGTCTCTATGGGTTCTCCGTAGCTTTTTCTACTGGCAAAAGAATATGTTCCTGAGGCATAACTAGAGCTGTATTATTGGATTTATCAGCTTTAAATGCAACAATCAAAGGCCTTCTCAATTGAGTAGAAAACTTTGTGCTTAATCCTAGAGGAGTTTGGGTAGCTGAGCTAGAAACACTGACAACTTCCATACCAAATTGTCACAGCAAAATTTAATCAATGTACAAAAGCTTTCTGGCTGTCCAAAAACTGCAACCAACCATATGCATCAGCAACAGTACTGGTGCATGTAAAATACACAAAAAGAAGTAGAAATTATGAAAATTGGGATCTTAAGTTAATGGATTTTTTCTTGCTAGAACAAGCACAGATTCATCGATTTGACATAATGAAACAAGTTTTCTGATTCAAAAGAATTAGTATTTGTGCTCAGCAGCTATATCAAGCGTTGATCACACAAAAATTTCAATACAGAACTTCCATTAAACTGGTCAATATCATTCTACAAATCTAATTTTCTAAGTATTGCAGCAAATCAAAGCATTAAGTCCCATAAGGGTCACTCCTACTTGACACGATTTAGACATGGGTAGCTCCAAATCAAAGTTAAACCATTGAAAAAAATCCATGAACAGACAAACATTAACTAGACATAAGACAAAAATCTAGTTCATGTCATAGGAAAGACATTTAGCAACATGATATTGTCTCTGGTACATTTCTAGCATGAGTTGAAATCATCCATAAGCAATTAGCAACGTTAATCAGTTCCATGCAAAGAGAAACAAACCTTTAGGAACAGAACAAAAGCGAGTTGCTAAGTTAACACGGACCGTGGGGTTGAGAAACCGGCGCCTTTTTCCTGGTTGCCAAAATGCCAAAAGCTACAGAATCATAAATACGAAAATTACGGTGTCGACAAATTATTTCATTTGCAAAATCAACGGCCAGATGGAGGCAGTGCTCAAATCCAAAGGTCAAGGAAAGTGACAAGTAAGATTAAAAGAGAGAGAAATAGAAGGAGTGTGATGACGTGGCCACGGCGAAGGCAGAAAAAAGAAATGGCGTGGCGAGAAAAGAGTGGTAGAGTAGATATTTTACGGTATTTGCTGGATGACGTTGGTAAACGTGGGTGATTCTTATTGGAAGAAACATTTCACTTTCAGTTTGCGGGACCCAGTACTTGTGATCGCCTCGGACTCCCATGGCTCATCATGACGTGTCGACTGATTATAGCCATTTGAAATTTGTAAAATCTGATCATTGTGGAGTTTCCGGGAAAAATGAACCACAATAAAGTTGTTTTCAACCTTAAATTTGGAATTTAACCCTTGCTAATATTTTGAGTTTATTAAACTTGTTTTTGTTCAGCAGTTGATTAAATTTTTCTCAATCCAGGATGAAATTTTTTTTTTAGAGAAATTTTTCTCAATCAAAAATTTATCTTTGAAAATTTTCTTTGTCTACAGAATTAAATTTATTTTTACATTTTTATTTAGATTTAATTTACTTTTAAAATAATCTTATAGATGTACTCTTTTATATTGATATAATACTTAAAATAATTATTTTTCATAAAATAATTCCTTTTCGTCATTAAATAAGTCTATAGAAAAAATTAATACTTCAAATGTTTAATATATACTGATTGTGTGAAAATTGATTCTATAATTATAAACTTTGTTCAAATGCTTCAAAATTTTTATTTGAATGCTGAAAGCAATACAAATGAAGAAAATTTCTGTGACAAAGTAAATTTAATCCATTGAAATATATGTATATATTTTATTTTATGTATATAAAGATTACTAAATTTTAAATTACATAATAAAAATAATTTTTTAAAGATATAATCCTTTTTTATCTCATGAAATCTGGTTTTTTACTGTTAAAATGTAAATAAAAATTTCTATTGATAAGTCATAAAAATGTGTTTTGTACTATTATTTGAAAGTAATTACTCTTCTTAGTAAAAAGAAAAAAAACCAAAGTAGTTACTTTTTCCTCAATTTAATTTTAATTTTAATATGTTACTAAAAAAGGAAGTTAGCAAATAGTGGTACCGCACTGTTCCTTCGAGTCCAAGTCCAATAGCGGGACCGGATGTTGGGTCCACGAGCATGTACCGCTCGTCTGAACTATGAACCAACGTCTAGAACACTTGTAATATTCCCTTTGCGGCTCTGAATCTTTAAAAACTGGTTTTTATCGCTTTAAAAAAGGAACGTTTGTTTCTTTTTTTTTTTCTAATCATTGAATTTGAATGGGTCCAAGCAGTCCACCATTGAATTGTTGAACTTCCAAAAGACAATATATATATATACATATATATTTAAGTATAAAACATTTTAGTAAGTTTTTTTTTTTTTTACCATTTTTGTTTGATTTTGAATTGAAGTAATTTTGATGACTTAGAAAATTACATCAAAGCTAACATTTCATAAATGGAGGCAGAATGTAAAGAATATTGCTGTTGGTTTTGTTAACAAGGTGTTACATGAGAATGATGACTGAATAACTCTATATTATAGTAATTTTCCTAGTGATTCTTTGAATAATGCAATTACTAGTTAAAAAAATTTTGGTGATGTTAATTTAGAAATTTTAATTAAATTTATTCATGAATTAAAATAAATCAATTCGTGAATTAAGTTTTAAATACAAAATTTTAAGTTCTGTCCAACTCGATCTAATTTAACATATTAAATTATTGTTAAAATATTTTTAATATAATATTAGTATTAAAATATTAAAATATTAATTTTTTAATATTTTAATATATATATTTTTTTTTTTGGATCTCGTAAAAACTAATGAATCAAACAAAACATTAAAAAGACTTATGGAACAATAACATTGATGAATTTTTCTAATCTTAACCCACCGGAAAGGAATAACGTTTATTTTTTCCCAAAAAAAAAAAAAGAAAATGTGGAGTCGTTTCACCATTTGTCGTTTAGACCATTCAAATCATAATTAATGTCAAAAAAAAAAAAAGTAATACACGAGGGGATCCCTCGAGGAAGCTATCCGGGTTATCAATTCAAGGAACCAGTGTCGCGTTGTTTCCTTACTTTGATGGAAATCTCAGTATCCTTCCAGAAATTATACAAAATTTTTGTTAGATAAATAAAATCTTTTAAATTATATAAAAAACTACCTCACTTTCCACGTTGAGATGCTACTTTCAACAAAATATTAGTAGAATAACAATAAAAAAATTATTTCCGTCAAATAACGTAAGACAATTAACGTCACCATTTCATCATTATTATAAGTGGTGTTTTTTTATTCTTTTTTTTCCTGATTTAAAAGAACTAAAAAAAAAAAAAAAGAAATTACGCGGAATTGGCTAAGTTTGAAGATTCTTGGTCTTCTTCCCTGACTTCCTTTTTGGTTTATTATTTCCGTCTAGGTGCTAAGAATATTGTAATGAATCTGGAGCATGCTCCAATTAAGTGAAAACCTTAACAAATCAGTATAAAATGGTGATTTTGTTGGGTTTAAAGTTGAAAAGTTTTACTGTGTGAGGGAGAAAGGGTCAGCAGTTGGACTTTCCTTCCATTTTGAACCTCATTTTCTATGACCAAAGACCGGTCTCAATGAAGAATTAAAATCCCCCCTTCAACTTTTTCCTTGCAGTCAAACTTCTCCTTTGATTCTCTCTTTCCCTCATTTTTTCTTCATTCAAAAGGGGGTGTCACTTAAATCACAAACCCATATTCTCCGCTCTCCTTAGGTTTTTTTTTCCCTTTGTTTATTTATCTTCACAGATTTTAAGCTTAGAGCCATACCAAAAACCCACAAAACCTCATCACACCCTTATAGGGTTCTGATATATTTTACTTATTTTCAGGAAACCTTTTGCAATCTTTGCCTCGTCAGCCCCAAGTTTTTTTTATACTAAGCTCCCAAGTTTTCTAGTACAAGAAAAAAAAAGCAGAAAAAGCAACCTTTTGTCTTGGTCTTTTGAGTTATAAATATATATTCTCAGCTGAATTGCGGATTCTAGTTCATTTACTTCTATGCGTTCAGCTTCTAATTCATCAAGCTTGCGTTCTCAACTAAATCTAATTTTCTGCTGTTTTATGGTTTGTGTTCATTCATGCTTTTTGTGATGAAAAGTTGTCCTCGTGTCTAAAATGAACTGATACGCATATATGCCACATAAATAGCATACTGGTCGTGCAATTTGGGAAAGAAAATTTTTTATTTTCTCCTCTTTCTTTGTCTGCTTTACAATAAATGGAGAACATGGGAGAATGGGAGCAAAAGAGTCTGATAAATGAGCTAACACAAGGAAGAGAGCTAGCCAGGCAACTCCAAGTCCATCTCAATGTGCCTTCTTCTTCCAATGAAACTAGCGAATTGTTAGTCCAAAAGATCCAAGCTTCCTATCAGAAGGCACTTTCAATGCTGAACTACAATCTTACCTCTTTGGCAGCAGAGCCACAACCCTCCTCAGGACTAGCAATCAGAATGTCGGAGTCACCACCTTCTCGTAGTGGAAGCCCCCGAAGCGAAGACTCTGACCGTGATTTCAAGGAACAGGATCTCAAAGATGCCTCCAAGGAAAGGTATATATGAAAACACAAGCACTTTATAAAGATACAACTCAACTCAACTCACGTCGACCAAGCCTTGATTTTTTTTTTTTTGGCCAATTCTTGACCTCCTTGATTTTTATCCAGTCATTTGATACAACGGATTAATTATGTCTGGAAATTTTTATGTTGCAGAAAAACTCTGCCAATAAGGAAACAACATGTACGAGTTACGCCAGGTACAGCGCTGGAGGGACCTCTTGATGATGGCTTCAGTTGGAGGAAATATGGACAAAAAGATATTCTCGGAGCAAAATATCCAAGGTTTGCGAATTCAAGTCTATGTCACTCTATATATATTTTTGTATATATCAAAGTAATACTCCGTGAGAGCAATTAGCAGTTTATATTGGTCCACGTCGACTCTAAAGAATGCAGAACCTTTTTGACAGAGTCTTAGATTGTAAAATCTGACCTGTCTGTTGTCAACGGGTCAATGGCTAAAGCAATATTCCTTTTTGCAATTTATAATTAAATGTTTGGTCGGCCGCATATACATGCAATTGAGCTTTGCCTAACAGCATATAAATACATAGAGCAGTTTGACAAGGTTTAGTTGAATTTTACCCTTCTTTTCTTCTTCTAGGTAATCAATGAACGTACAGTTAGCTGTCCGATCATATTATTATGTAAAATGCTAGCATATATAACCATACTTTCTTGCTTACAGAGGCTACTACAGGTGCACCCACCGAAATGTCCAAGGTTGTTTGGCAAAAAAGCAAGTACAAAGATCAGATGATGACCCAGCAATCTTTGAGATTATTTACCGCGGAAGGCACACTTGTACTCTAGCCTCACATGTAATGCCTCCCCCAGGACCCTCAGAAAATCAATTAGAACAAGGAACTTGCATAAAACCACAGCAGCATAACCAGAAACAATCACAAGATCTACGTCTGAGCTTCCAGAGGGGCCTTAAATTTATAACCCAAGACTTAGACATAAGTCGTGAGCAAACATATCCTTCATTCCCTTATCCTTCATCAATGTCCGATATAAAGGTTGAAAACAATGTTGTCTTTTCATCACCTTCTGTGATTGACAACAATGTGGCGGGAAATCTTTCACCTTCATTTATATCGCCTGCAACATCAGGGTCTAAGCATTTCTCTATGTCTCCAAGTCCAAGAGGGATGAACGGTACTCATGGGCAAACAAACATTAATTTTCAAACTTCTGAGCCTCAGCTCACTGAGATTATCCAAGCTGCTACGTCAGCAGCAAACTATCCCACTGTTGGTTTGGATTTCCCATTTGGTAATGCCGAATTCAATCCAAACTTCACATTTGACAACCATGGTTTCTTTCCCTAATCATAAGCCTTGTTGCCAAGAAACTTTTGTTTCACTGCATACACGTAGCAGTAACAAACAAGAGTTGGATTTTATGGTCCTGTCAGATAGATTTCTTATAGCAGATGAAGACTGTACTTTTTTTTTTTTTTGCTTTTTTTCCTTTTCTAACCCGTGAGGTGTAACTTTTTCCGATTAAATGAAATCAAATATTGCTAATTTCAAATAACTTTTTCATAGAGGATTTGTTCCAATTTAGAAACCCCGAAGTTCAAATCTACCATCTCAGCAAAAATTAGGAGCATCGGCCTCAATCAATTTGACATTGCAATATCTGACGCAAACAATAGACCAAAAGAGAATTGAAGTAGGCCCAGAAAGAATTTACCAATGGCAGTCCAAGAGGCAAAAGTTAAATTCTGAACCCAACATTGGAGCGACGGGCCAACCCAAAATAGTAAACCAACGTAAGGCTATAATCAATTTTCTGATTAAACCCAACGGATCAATTACCTCCCAGGGAAATTCCAGAGCCCAGGTTGGCTGATGAACATGGTGATTTGTTGGATGAGCCACCGTTTTCATATGCTTATTTTTGGGATAAATAGTCCATTCCAATTTGAAGCAGAACTATGATTCTTCTTCCGAATTTGGGAAGCTGAGAAAATGATTTTATTAGCTGGTCCAAACCTGAGCTAAGAAAAGAAGACAAAAATCAATAAATAAAAAAATACTTGGAATTTTTTTCGGTGTTCCTTATTAAGCATCATTATGGAAGTCATGCAAAATTTGAGCCTAGCTAGCAGCCTGCTACTTTGCAATCTTGTTAAGATTGCATGCGTGGGATGGGACCATTGTTACACTTCAACAATATATAATTCGTTGTTGATCTAATTTTACTTACAAGCATGAAGCTCAAGCAGTTTTTCGATGAATATCATAACCAAAAATTTGATATCCAGTTTATCATCAAGTTAAAAATTTGAAGAATCATGTAACTATGTTTTGAATAGTTTTTGAGCTAATCGTTCTTCAGATAAAAGCAATACAATTCTTAAGTTCTTGAAAGTCTTGTGACTTGGTTCAGCATACGTTCTCAATCAATAATATTATAAAGATCGATGTTTGAATTTGATTCCATCTACTATGTTAATTCAGTAGTTTTAGTTCCTTTACTTCAATTTTGAGATTGGCAATAAAAATTATTAAAATTAGAATAAAGAGACTAAAACTATTGAATTGAAGTAGTAAAGAGACTAAATTTTGACTTTAAACCTAGTATTTGTTTGGTGGTATTATTAACCTAATTAAAGCAAAATCAAGTGTTGGTTGACAAGCAACTTCAAAAAAAAAAAAAACTTACGGTATTTAAGTCCAGGGCAGGTTCACCTAACTAGGAGTTCCCGAAATACTTGGTCCATTCCATCCTGAACTACCAATTTGGTCCACTTTATTGATTTACAATGGACATCAATCTTGCCCCTAATCACTCTGGTAATTCTGACCGCGATTAATCAAATTAAATTTATGAATTTGTAGTGTTCAGTTAATAATTAGTTACCCCATTGTTATTTTCTCTAGTTAGGCACCTAATAATTTGGACTAAAAACAAAACTACTTTGAGCTAAATGGTAAGACGTCGAAACTTGTGTGCATCTGAAAATGTAATGTGGAAAAGGCCTTTGTTAAACTAGCTAGTAGGATGAAAAGGTTTTGTTGTATCTTATTGGTCACGTAGCAAATATTCAACCAGCCATGTTATCAGGGTTTGCTTATGGTAATCTCGTTGGCCACATCATCATTTATGAGGTATAAAAGGGAAAATGAGACCAATTCTCTACTTAACTACTTTCTTTGGCTAACTTATGCTCTCCCTTGCTTCTTTTCTTTTCATATACTTGATTAACTTGAACATGGAATCGCATCTTAAAATTCTACTTTCGATCCCCTTACCTTTCTTTCTGTATGATAGATCCGAACGTTCTCCATCTCAGCTTATAGCAAGCGTCTTGATTACCATATATAGGAATAATTACATCATCAGGCTTGAATCTCGAGTGATCTTGAACTACCTATTCTATTTCTTCATGTCTTCACAGGGTAGGTGTTGTCTAATTACATCTCTTTATTATATACACTGATTGAATATTATTGTTGTTTATTTCATCCATTTTATGAGGAACATGCAAAAGTACTCTGCATGGAGCAAGAGACTGGAATTCCCGAAAAGATAATAAATCAACTTAAACAAATGGATAAATGCCCATACATGCAAATATGCAAAGAAATTAAACTTTGAGATTAAGATTGCAAAATTAAATGAGTGCAATGTGCCCTTCCGTTCTCCTTTCTTTTTTTTTTTTTTTAATTGTAGCAACTTTTTTGAGACAGACAGACAGACAGACAGGAGAGAAAGAGTCTGTAAAATCAAGGCTGAAAAACTATAATGAGTAAAACTTAGCAGAATGTTTGCAGGATTTGGTGAGCGAGTTCTTCTGCACTCAGTTGGCATTCAATTCCAATCTGTTCATAAAAAAATATAATTATTCATACTATTCAATCATTAGCTTCAATAAATCTCAACACAAACATGTACCCAAATAATTCTTCTCAATAAATTTGAACTCAGTGAAACAAAACAGTAACTGCAAAGACTGATATATCATAATTATCGCAACATAAAAAAAAAAAAAAAAGGAAAAATGACTGCAAAGATACCTTAGTTTTCAGTGATCCGTCGTGTTTTTCAAGAGTTATGAAGTAAAGTTTTTAGTTTTTACAGTCAGCACCTTTGCAGTAAATCAACGTCAGTTTTACGTTATTTGTCTGAAAACGACTGCAAGAAGTTTCATAATTTTAATATGACAAAATACGTCAAAATTATCAGTTTTCTCTTTTAATATTAAGGCTTATATGATATTATCCTGGACCAGTGAAGTTTACGATCGATTCTACCTGCCCTAATGTTCTTCTGAATGATGAAAGCAATCATTGAAAATCAAAAATGGTTTGGTTTATTAGGTTCCGTCCCGAGCAAGGCAACGAAATCAAGAGACACAAATGTGAGAAAACAGACTTACATGGAGCAAAAAAATTGAAGACATCCATTTGTTTTATATTTTATCATATGCTCATTTAATTTTCAATAAACGTCAAAATAAAAATTGACTATACTAAAGCTAACCACAATTGTAAAATTTTTACAGTTTACATGCATTTGATAATTTTCCCAAAGATAAGGGATTTTGCATATTAAGATAGAGTTTTTACCTTGATGGTGAAGGAATTAAGCATTGTTTCATCAACAGTGCTAACGTTGACATGGAGAATTTCAAGTGAGAGGTCCTCAAGCGCAGAGATTATTTTCACTGCCTGACCAGGAATCCGAGGAGATACCGTCTTTAAAAGAAGATTTCGGCCTGAAAACTTCACTTCCACATCGGCAATCGGAGACCTTGAGTTTGCAACGAGCTCGTTAACGTTGTCCATGGAGGAAGTGGAAGAAGTAGGAGATGGTTCGAGCGAACTAATAATCATGGTTGGATAGAGATAACCTTGCTGCAACCTTGGCTTGTAAGGGCTACCAGGTTGAGGGGTTCTTGGGCTTATTGGCAAGTTTAGTCTTGGACTTAGAGGTGGTTTTCTAGGGCTGAGAAGCGTGGGTCTTGGACTTAAAACTATCCGAGGGCTTAACACTTCACTGTAAACTTTTCTTTGTTTCTTGGCCTCAAGCGATTGTAGAACTTGTTGCAGCTCATTGACGTAATCCACAACTCCCCCAATAATCGATGCTTGATCTCCCTAAGACATATAATTCAATAGAAAGATTAACATAAGAAAAAAAAAAAAAACTTTTCATATGTATGATGTAATAAATACTTAGAAAAACAAGAAATTGAGACAGTGACTTACTCTTTTCACATAGAAGGAAGGCATCAACGATCTCAACACCGATAAATGCTCATTCATTTGCTTCCTCCTGTTGCGTTCAACCGTTATATGAGACAGTCTTTGTTGCCCATCTGGGTTTGTTTCCTCTGAAGAAGCTAGCTTCTGCCTATTGCTTTTGGGTGAAGTTTCGTAATCAGGCTCAGTCTCTGACTCCTTGGACACCAACCTCGTAGTTTCTTCACCTTTTTGGCTGCTAGCAGCGGCCTTTTCTTCCAATGGAATGAAGGGTGGAAATTCAGGGGGACCATCTAAACTCTCAAATATAGCAGAGAGGTCATCTCCGCCTGCAAGGTTGGTTTCTCCGAATTCAGGTTCTTCAAAAAACTCACAGAAACTATCATCCATATCGGAAAGTGTTCAGAGTATTTTGTTGGTATTTTCCTTTTCTCGGAAGAAAACCTTTAGTCCTGTTTTGGTCTTTTTAGGGAATCGAATCAGAAAACAATCAAAGAGAGAACAATGGCAAGAGAGTGAACTGAAAAACAGTGGGAAAAAGACTGAGATGGAGGGAGATGCGAAACTTGTCAAGATGAAGAGAAAAAAAAAATCGCTATATAAGGGAGTAAATGTAAGAGCAGCTGTGAAAGGGATTAAAAACTATCACCATCAAGTAGTCTCCTTTTTGGGGGTTTGAATATTTACCACCGTTAGATTCAGGGTATCTCACGGAGAATCAGGGACGCTCTCTGTCTCAACGCAAAAATTCTAAGCTAATTTGGAAAGTGAAAAACAGTAATACCAAACTTTGGGCTGTGGATTTATTTAAGATGGCATTATAGTATATCTTTTTTCTACACTTTGGTTTTGTTTAGTGATAAATTTGTCATTTTGGTAAGAATATGAGAATCTGTAAAAAGGTTCATTAATGAATGCAGAGACAGATTAAATGACAAAGATACCCAAAGCAATTTGTTAGATTCAAATTGAAGGAGCTTCATCAATTCTCAATTGCTGCCTCTCAGGGTGCTGTCTTTGCCCTCTGCTTATGACTTTGCAATTTCATCTAAACCATTAGGCCATCAACACCGTCACCTTCATCATATACAAATAAAAACATATATATATATATATATATACACAATTAATTTTTTTCTTATCAGTTTTTTAACATAACAGGAAAATCATTATTTCTTTTTTTTTTTTATAACATATCATTTCATTATGTGCAATATATTTTTATGCATATATAATAGTATTATTATTAAATAATAATGTTATTTTATATGTACCAAAAAAATTATGTTTTTTGTGCTGACATCCAAACACAGCCCAAGTATCCAATGAATGCTTTATCAATATGTTTCTTTTCTTTTAAAACAATTTTTAATACATTATTGATGGAGTTGTATATTTATTCAATTAATTTAATCTTCAAAAAGAAGTGGTTTTTCATTTTTTTGAATAACTCAAAAACAAAAGTCAATATCGGAGAAAAAGTTAGATGGCTTGGTCTTTGCAAATTTATATTTAAGAAAACAAGCGTACGTAATAATTTTAGATATAATATAATGATATGATATAAAAATAATATTTAATAAATTATGTATATAATTTTTATAATTATTTTTGTATCTTAATTATGTCGATATATTTAAGATATAATATTACACATGTCATATTTTGTGTCTTATACGTATTATATGTTTAAGATACGATTAATTAATTAATCATGTTATAGTATCAATACGTATAAATGACATGTTTACAATATGCATATAATCATATTTTAATATTTTTTTGTTATATTATCATTTTGTTTTAATGTTGAACTATTGATTAGATATTTTAATCATGTTTAATTTTGTTAATTATATATAATTATATTAATCATATCATGTTATTCATTTCTAAAACGAATTAAAATATATTAATTATGTTGTATCAAATATAATACGTATAATAAATATACTATATTCATATTTTGATTATTCGTATCATTTAAATATTCGTATCACATTCATATCAAAGTTAACAATTAATAACTAATAAACTTAAAGGAATAGTCAAAGAAAGAACTCTTACAAATTCATACTAGTTTTACATCGCAAGTGTTTTTATAAAGGTGAACTCTTATGATGCTTTATATTCTTTCTTTGTTTTCGTAAATAAATCGTCTTCCAATCCTAACTAAAAATTAAATGTCATATATATACATACACACACAAAAAGATGCGAGACATCTCTTCTCTCTCATCTAAATTTATTTTAATTTATTCACTAAATTTAAGGAAATAATTGGATAATTAATTATTCAACAAATTTAAACTAGGTGAATTGATGATTAATAACTTAGGAAGATATGATTGAGTGACTAATTAACGATTTCAAAAACTTAAACCAATAAAAAATGCATTCAAACTTAAAACTATTGAATTTTAACGAGGTAAAACAGTAGTTTGGGGATAGTTCATTTTTTGTAGTTTGTCTATGCCTAGCTGTCCCCTTAACTTCGTCTTGGCCAAGGTGGGAATTAATCAAGAACTGAAGAATTTATTTCATACGTTTGTGGTCGGGGGAAAATGGAAAGATGATTGTAAACCACTGTTACACTGCAATGCAAAAAATAAAAAGGCGGAGAATGTTTCAGGAGTACTGAGAATGAGAATTAGCCTTAACATTGTGAAGTGAAGTGACAGTCTCTTCTTTAAAAATTGATCGGTGAAGTGAACGCCATTGTTCCCTATTGTTGACAGAAAGCCTAGCCCTTACCTTTACGTTATCCTTCCATTTTATAGGGGGCAAAATAACTTACTCGTTTTGCTTTGGAAACAATCGTTTAGTCAGCTAACAGGTTTCAAACCACGCTGATACATGCCATCGATGCCCTGTCCAAGAGACATGGTTTGTTTAGATACTACTACGGTCTGTTTGGATGAGCGTTAAGGTTGAAATAATAATGAAAGTAAAATTAATCATTATAATAGTGATGAGCATTAAGATTGAAAATAATAATAAAAGTAAAATTAATTATTATAATAGTGAGATTAAAATTAATTATATAATATGTATTTGGATTTAAAAGTAATAGTAATAATGAAATGAATGGTAATAAAAATAAAAAATGATTAAAAAAGATATTAAAATAAAATTTTTATGATGAAATAAAAATTTTAAATAATTTAATATTTATAAAATTATTAAATTATTTTATGGGCCATAATAATAGTTTATTAATAAATAATTAAAAATTAATAAAAAGTAATATATCAAATCATTTTTTTATTATATTAAATTAAAAAATTATTTTATAATTATTAAATTAAAATTAAAATATAAAAATATTAATTATAAAAATATTTTTATCTCTTCAATATAATTAACAGGATACAAAAGTAAAATTAAAAAAAAAAAAAGCTACTGGACGGTCATCCACTGGCCCCCCAAAAACTCCTATAAACGAAAGCTCGTTTTCCGTTGCGCATTAGGCTTTCAAACGGATGTTCAACTGGGATTTGCACAACTTTTCATGACAAACGCAACTCCCTTATAACTTTGAATGGCTGGAGATTTATTACAGCATTGAAAACACGACAAAGTGAACATAAGCGTGAGTAAACATGAGACAATGGGAGAGAGAAAGAAAAGTAAGTGACGAAGGGTGATACATGAGGAAGAGCAGTATTGGGACAGAAGTCTACAAGTTGTCTGTTTTAATGAGAGTAATTTCTCATATATATTATGAAGAAGGTGGCTAGCTTTCCATGTGCAGAAACGGCATCTCCGTGCCTACAATGATCCATTTCATCCATGTTCTTGTTTATTTGCTTTTTATTCTTTTATACCATTCTTTGTTTATTTTGGTTTTCTGCTAATAACAAAGGAGGTCATGTTGGCAATGCAGCCAAGAGTGAAAAAAGGATCGGGGGAGAAGGAAGAGACAGATCAAGCAGGAGAGTAATTGCTAGCCTGCATGGGAGTGCGCGTTTCATTTAAGTATAAGGTATCTATTCCTATACCTATACCTATACCTATATATTTTTTGGTTTTATCACAAAATTACACTTCTCCCTTCATATATATCCGACTTTTCCCATTATCCATCAATTTTCACATTTACCACCCTCAACAACCAACTCCTCCCTCTTTCTCTCCCATTTGGACAATAGCCGATCAACATTTTTGTTAGGTGTAATTTTCTTTAAATTTTGTTAATATGATGTTATTTTATATTTAATGAATATTTAATTTTTTATAATTTTATATTTAAGTTAGATTTTTTTATTTATTATCAATTAATATTAAATTAGATACTTAATATAATATTAAAATCAAAATTTTTTTTGTTATTCTTTTTAAATCTATCACATAATAGATTTTTTTTATCTTCACTTATACGTGATGAAAGTATATTAATGTGATATTATCTTATATTTAATGAATATCTAATTTTTTATAATTTTATATTTAAATTGATCCCATCCACTTATTATCATTTGATTTTAAATTAGATGCTTTAAAATTTTGATTCTTATTTCTTACTACTTTTGAAATCATTTGAACCATGATGAAACATTTCGATTTCCCTGACTGGCATGTGTACTATATGTGTCAAACTCAAGGTTTAAGACCTAAATTCTGGGAAAAAAAAAAAAAAAAGAAGATAGAACTTTGATTCATTCTTGCCATATATCTAGCAAAACACAGTTCATAACTTTTATCAAAGTGAAAGTTTGCCAAGCTCTATGTAAAAGAAAAAAATATTGTAAGCCAAAATTATGTTGAAAATTGAAATATGTGTTATGCATGAAGCTATTTTATGAATCTATATACACTTCTTGATTTATCATAATTTGCAAAGTACTATAACTTATAGAGACAAATATGATGTTATATAATACTAAATGTATGGTAAACTATTACCATCATGGAGGGATACATAACAAATCTTCAAATTTCTCTCTTTTTTTTTCGTTTTTTTATAAAAAAAGGTCACAGTATATAAATAGAAAAAAATTATAGATATTATAATTTGAATTTAAAACTTATAAAATATCATTTTTAAAAAAATTATTATGTGAACCGATATAATTAAACTCTAAATTGCTTCACATTCCATCTTTGGTTATAAAAAAAAAAAAAAGCATGAATAAAAATAAATATATTAATACATCTAATGTTACCCCCATATATGAGTGTATATATATATATATATATTATAAACGAGTATATAAGTATTCACTTACATCTGTGTAATTGTTATTTTTTTACTTTTGATCTAAATTAAATTTATAAGATTTATATTTAACTATTTTGATCAAGGATTAAAAAAATATATAACACTTACATTGATGTAAGTGGATCCATTTCTCTCTCTTTCTATATATATATATATATATATATATATA